CCACGCAGTGTGTGCCTGTCTATAGGTCCCGGGCACGAGCGGCCACGCCACGACGGTGAAACTCAGGAGAGATTTTGGCACTACGCTGGGGAGCCCATCCCAAACGGTGCCTTCCTGCCCCATGGTGCTGCAACGCGACAGAGCTCCATCACTTGTCCCTGTTTATTTCCCTCCGAGCTCTGTAGCAGTCCTTAGGGTGTCTCCAAGCTCTATCACAGCCTGTGGGTGCTCCTGAGCACAGTCACCCCCTGTGGGTGTCCCTGGGGTGCAGTGCCAGCCTGTGGGTGTTCCCCAGTGCATCACAGCCTGTGGATGGGTGCCTGCAAGCACTGTGCGAGCCTGTGGGTGTCCCCAAGTCAATCAGAGCCTGTGGGTGTGCCCCAGCGCAGTGACACTGGGGTGTGCCCAGTGCAGTGTGACAAGGCGCTCTTAACCCAGAGTTACCGGGATGCCCCAATTGCTCCAAGCGTGGTGCCCCCAGGGTGTCCCCAGTGTGGTGCCACAGGCAGTGTGTAGCTCAGTGTCATCAGGGTGCCCCTGGTGGGGTGCTACAGGGATGTGTCCACTGCAGTGCCATGGCGTGTCCTGAGCACAGTGCCACCAGGATGCCTTTAACCAGCGTCACCAGGATGCTCCTAGCACAGTGCCACTGAGGTGTCCTTAAGCAGCGTCACCAGCGTGCCCACTGCGCAGTGTCACTGAGGTGTCCTTAACGAGTGCCATTAGAGTGTCCTTAGCCAGTGCCACCAAGGTGTCCTTAACCAATGCCACCAGGGTGTCTTTAGCCAGTGCCACTGAGCTCTCCCTAATGAGTGCCACCAGGGTGCCTACCACCCAGTGCCACTGAGGTGTCCTTAACCAGTGTCACCAGGGTGTCTTTAGTCAGTGCCACCGAGCTGTCCTTAATGAGTGCCACCAGGGTGCCCGCCACGGAGGTGTCCTTAACCAGGGCCACCAGGGTGTCCTTAGCCAGTGCCAGAAGAAGATGCAGATGCTGAAGCTGGACAAGGAGAACGCCATCGACCGCGCTGAGCAGGCGGAGGCCGACAAGAAGCAGGCGGAGGACCGCTGCAAGCAGGTGGGCCCCGTCACCCTCCCCGCGGTGCGGCCAGGGCACCGTGCCTTGGGAGTGACTACCCCTGGGGACATCGCCATGTGGGGTGCGCAGCACTGGGAAATCACCCCAGTGGGCGCCCAGCCCTGGGGACCTCACCTTGATGGGTGCCCAGCCCTGGGGAGCATGTCACCCTCATGGGCGCCCAGCCCTGGGGACCTCACCTCTCCCTGTGTCCAGCCCTGGGGACCTTACTGCTCCTGGTGTCCAACCCTGAGGACCTCAGCCCACTGAATGTCCCACCTGGAAGACACTGCCCTAAGGTTCTCACCCACCCCCGGTTCTCTCACCCAAGAGGGTTGCCAGCCCTGGGGACCCTAAAGTGTCCAAACCTGGGGACCTCACAACATGAGGTGTGTAGCTGTGGGAACCCCATCCCACTCAGTGCCCAGCCCTGGGGACCTGCACCCCCGTCGTACTGACCCACCACTCACCTTGGTCAGCCTGAGACGCAGGCCATGCCTCAGGGGGACACCTCAGCACCCTGCCTGCCACCGCCTCGTCCCTTTCTCATGGAGACAACGTGCTGCCATCCCACATGCATAGACAGGGAGATCTCAGTGGCCTCTGGAGCTGTGTCCCAAAGGTGGGACCTAAACAGTCTCCAGCACAGGGAGGAGGCCGCCACCTCCTTTCCCCCTTCAGGCTCAGGGATACTGAACCCTGGTGCTCTCCAAGGACCTGCAGCCCAAAGCTGACAGAGTGAGCATGTCCTTGTGCTCCCTTCCCACGCCCCCTGTCAGGGCCACGTCGGGATGAAGGTGGCCATCTCCCCAAGCCCCATGGGCACTGCCAGCGCGCTGGAGCCCTCCGGCCCTGCATGCCCTCACCCTGATCCCTGTGCTCCCTTCCCTTCCCCAGCTGGAGGAGGAACAGCAGGGCCTGCAGAAGAAGCTGAAGGGCACGGAGGATGAGGTGGAGAAGTATTCTGAGTCTGTCAAGGAGGCGCAGGAGAAGCTGGAGCAGGCGGAGAAGAAAGCTACAGACGTACGTAGGCTCTTCAGCAACCCCTCCCGACGCGCGCCAGACTGGGGGTGGGCAAAGGAAGAGGGGAGCCTTATATGGAAAGCATCTGTGGGGAAGACTGGCGGGATCCCATTCCTCGGACACTGACCCTGAGCCGGGCTGAGCAGCGGCGCATGCAGGGCCGGGAGCATCCCGGGGCCAGGCGTGTGCAGGGGCAGCCGCTGGCTTTTCCGGAGCGCGGTGGGTAGAGCGGAGCTGCCGCCTGCCTGTCTCAGCCCTGCGCCCCGGTGGGGACAAGGACCCAGCTGCGTCACTGTCCCCCGGCACACAGCTCTGGTGCCGCCGTAGGAACACACTTGGTGGGCTATGTAGGAAAGCTAAGAGGAGCAGAGAGGAGAAGCACCTCTTGCCCATGGCCAGCCACTGCAGTGACAGCGCGCTGACCGCAGGGAAGGATGCAGGGCGCTCCTGGTGGGTCCGGTGGGCAGCCTGGCACCCTGTGAAGGACACGTCCGGGACCGGTTTTATTTAGTGTTGTGGCTGATGTTTCTCCTGAGAAACGGATCCCACCAGGGAGATGTGAGGAAGGGGTTGAACTTGGCTGGTGGCGGGCGCGGG